CGTAATTAACAGCTGCTCACACGTTAGCAATCAAGACCATTATTACTAGTAAACGCCTGTGTGTGTGTGTGTGTGTGTCTGTCTGTGTGTGTGTGTGTGTGTGTGTGCGTAACTATGTATGAGAGTATGTGTGTGTTTTTTAATGTATGTATGTATGTATGTGTCTGTATTTATTTGCGTGTGGGTGAACGTATTTGTGTGCACGTATATGTGAGTTTTCGTTCGTGTGCTTTTTACGTCCGTGTGTTGTACGTGTCTGCGTGTCTGTCTGTATATGTGTGTGCGTGAGTTCCCATGTTCTACCTGGAGTGTGCATATGTGTGTACGTGTAGGCATGATTACGCGTACGTGAGACCAGCAGGTACTTTGAGGAGGGGTAAGGAGGGTGAGGGTGAGGGGGAGGGGGTGGGGGAGAGGGGGTGGGGAGAGTGGGAGAGTGAGGTGAGGGGGCAGGGGTGGGGGGGGGGGGAGGGTGAGGGGCAGGGGTGGGGGAGAGGGTGAGGGGGGGGCAGGGGTGGGAGCAGGGGGTGGGGAGAGTGAAGGGGGGTGTTAAGTTCTGTCTGCTTGTAGATGACCGACATTACCATTACTGTTATTAAGTGTGCAACAGGGTAGGGGTGGTGGAGGAGGCAGGGATGACAGCGAGTCTTTACAAATGTGTATTGAAACATCACATCTTGCTAGCCTCCTCCTCCTCCTCCCTCCTCCTCCTCCTCCTCCTCCTCCCCCCTCCTCCTCCTCCTCTCCCCCCCTCCTCCCCCCCCTCCTCCTCCTCCTCTCTCTCACATCTTATCTACTACTACTATTATTGACGCTGTTGCCGCTGCCAACTTAAAGGTGATATCATGTTAGTATTGATATCAAGCTATAGACGACGACCTGTGCCACATGAGATCACCGAGAAGAGTAAGGAGAGAGAAAGGGGGGAATGGGGATGGTTGATGAGGGAGGTATGGGTGAAGGAATGGTTGAGGAGGGAGAGGGAGTGAGGATGAGGGAGGGTGAGGTAATGGGAGAAGGAGAGAGGAAGGGAATGAGAGAAGGAATGAGAAGAAGAGAAAGAATGAGAAAAGGAAGGAGAAAGTGAACGAAAGGGAAAAGGAGAATGAGAAAGTAAAGAAGATTAGTAGAAGGTAGGGAGGAGGATAACAGATAACGAGAGAATGAAGAAGAAAATTAAGGAGAGAGAGAGAGGGGTACACAAGGTCACGTCTCTGGCCCTACGGGTATCATGGGTGTTAGAAGGAGTGGTGGAGGCAATGGGTCACTTCCCCACTAGGTACCACACACACACACACACACACAGACAAGTGGGTGGCGGGCAACACAGTGCTAACCCCACCCTTTCTCTCTCTCTCCACCAGCCTCCTCTCGCTCTTAGGCCCTCTATTACTTAACAATGTGTGTGTGTGTGTACATCAACTAGGTCTATGGTAGGCATACGAAGGTCAGACCTCCTCCATCTTCCCCCATAGCTCGATCTCCTTTCTCGCCACGCCCCTAGCCCGACTTCTTCCCTCTCCCAACCTCCAGTCCAAATTCCCCCACCCCTTCCCCCTCCTCCCCTGTTGTGTTCCCCCAGGCGTCTACCTTTCTGTTACTAGTGGTTGTCATTGTACTTAGTTGGGAGGTAATAGTTCTGGGGGAAAGTTGTTCATAGTAGGGGAATTTTAGGGAGAGATCCTGTGTGTGTGTGTGTGTGTGTGTGTGTGTGTGTGTGTGTCAGAGAGGTTAATGAGCCACACATCCACCACAAGCCGCAGTAGTTCAGGTCAGAGTGACAACAACACTAACAGTGACCACACATTAACACAGTCATTTCCTCGGCCGGTCTCCCACTGTAATGACCATGTTGTAACTTTCGCTGCAAAGGTGTAATTATCGACTGACTCCCCCCTCCCCACAAAAGAAAAAGCAAGGACGTGAATTCTTTAAAGTTCATTAGACTGTAACACTGTATTTAAACTCTCCTACATGAGCTAGGTTACAAAAGTTACAGGTAAACGAGGTAACATAAATACAGGCGGAGACTTTATCACAACTGTATTCGTTTTCATGGCCGTAATCAGCGAGAAAATAATTTAAACATAAGAACCTTTTAAAAATCCAACACCCCTGGGTTCTGTTACACGATAATTACATTCACCTCCTTGTGCTACGAACAGTAACAAACCCGGACGGATTTTTTCTTGACACTACGGCGTGTGTAAATACTTGAGGATGAAAAGCCCTTCCGACTCTCCAAGACATTTACGAGTGTGGTATTGGGGGTGAGAGAGGCAGACACCCCCCCCCCCACCCGAGGTGATGATTCAGATGACTGGTGATGACACTGATGAGTGGTGATAAGGGTAATTTACGCCATAACTAGGGCTGATGATGGGGGTATTAGTATCAGTACTGGTAGTGGTGGTGGTGGGGGTGGTGGTACTAGTAATAATGGCTGCACTGGTACTGGTAGTACTGGTAGTAATAGTGGTGGTGGTGGTGGTTAAGGTACTAGTAATAATGGCTGTACTGGTACTGGTAGTACTGGTAGTAATAGTGGTGGTGGTGGTGGTGGTTAAGGTACTTGTAGTGATGGATTTACTGGTACTAGTAGTAATAGTGGTGGTGGTGGTAATACTAGAAATAGGGGTGGTGGTGGTAATACTAGTAATAATGGTTGTACTAGTAGTAATAGTGGTGGTGGTGGTGGTACTAGTAATAATGGTAGTACTAATACTAGGAATAATGGTTGTACTAGTAGTAATAGTGGTGGTGGTGGTGGTGGTGGTGGTGGTGGTACTAGTAATAATGGTTGTACTGGTAGTAATAGTGGTGGTGGTGGTGGTAAAGGTACTAGTAATAATGGTTGTACTGGTACTGGTAGTACTGGTAGTAATAGTGGTGGTGGTGGTGGTTAGGATACTTGTAGTGATGGTTGTAGTGGTGGTGATGCTGGTAGTGGTATGTATTAACTTAAGATAATCAGTTAGTTGTATTCTTACGTACAGTACCACTAACACCATAACCAGTACTACCACTATTACCAGTACCAACACAATTATCACCACCATCATCACTACTACTACTACTACTACTACTACTTCTACTACTACTACGACTACTAAGATCATGAACGCGTGAAAGAAAAGATATTCTTCAAGATCAGGCAATGGTGATCTTCTTGCCTTGACCATCAACATACGCGCGTACTCGTCAACCACGCGCCCTTGTCATCCACGCGCCCTTGTCATGCACGCACACCTTGTCATGCACATCAACATCCACACGCGCAAAGATCATGAACGCGCGGAGATGAGACGATGATGACACTATGTGGTGGGACGGGGGGGGGAAGGGGATGACTGGTGGCCGCGGAGAACAGGTGGACGACAAGGGCAGGAGAGAAGGAGAGAGAGAGAGAGAGAGAGAGAGAGAGTATATGTCAAGGTGCGAGGGAGAATGGAAATAGTTACCTGAAGAGAGGGAGGTAGGTGGGGGGGAGTGTACGTGGTTTGGAGACGTGAGAGTGTATGAAAGAGGTTCGCAGTGGTAGTTGTGAAGATGGGGGTAGTGGTAGTACTAGTGGATGTGTGTGTGAGGGGGAAGGGATCGGGATTCTAGCAGGGGATAGGGGGGTTGGTAGTGACAGGGAGGGAGGAGAAAGAGGAGTAGAAGGAGGGAGGGAGGGAAACTAGGTGAAGGATGGAGGGTAGTAGATGGTGGTGGCCGCCGAGGCTCGCGTGAAGGAAATAATAATTACTCGTAATAACAAGTAACATGGTCACGGTCCCCCGAGAGAAAGTCTTGACGGGATGAGAGGCGGAGGAAACTAAAGAGAGAAAAGGAGAGAGAAAGAGAGCAGTGAAAGCAGAGAGAGGCGGGGATTATGAATTGGAACTTGACTATTTCATAAGACTGAATACACTTTCCTTCACTCACATCTAACTCTGGCGTGTGTGTGTATATATTATTGAGCAAGCAAAAGAGAAATCACAATAAAACAACATCGGTGGCGGGTGTAGTAAGGCCTGACAAAACCAACGAATCCAGCATCATCACTGAACAAACACGACCGCTGGCCACCGAGGATCACTACTTATTATGCATTAAAATCACCACGTCGTTAAAGTCTCCCCCGCCCCGCTGGACACCGAGGATTACTACTTATTATGCATTAAAATCACCACGTCGTTGAAGTCTCCCCCGCCCCGCTGGACACCGAGGATTACTACTTATTATGCATTAAAATCACCACGTCGTTGAAGTCTCCCCCGCCCCAGTGTTGTGTCTCCATCACCTACCTGCTCATGTGAGAAGATGCACACGGTTCTTACCTCTTGTTTATGTCGGGATCTGTGACACTTTACCTGATGATGAAACTTGTGGTAAAGTCACTTCTGCCTGACGTGTGCTTTTGTTCATAGTAATTGTGTTGGTTTTGTTAGTCTCTCTCTCTCTCTCTCTCTCTCTCTCTCTCTCTCCTCTAATCAGTATATTTCTCTCAGCCTTTTCTTATTTTACTTTATTCAATTGGTTCTGTTATAATCCGTATCACTTATTTACATCATTATCACTAATTACATTATTATTACTTTCTTACATCATTATTTCATATTTCTTATTCCATTATTAAGACGTAATATAACCTTATTTTCTATGTTACGTCGAGCCGTATAGATAATAATAATAATAATAATAATAAAGTCTTCCCAGGCCAATACTCAACATACAGACGTAACATATAATACCACAAAGAACTTACTAACAGGGACTACCACTCATGAAGCTTATAACAAAATATACCGGAAAACTTTAACAATTATCCTGTGACATAAAAGAATTTACGGAGTTATTTAATGTAAAAAAAAATAGGTCATTATTACAGGTAAAAAAACTCAGTAATACTCAGATAGATAGATAGATAGCTAGATAGATAGATAGATAGATAGATAGATAGATACCTCTTCTATGACAATACATACAAATAATAATAAAAACAAAGTATTTCTTACCTGTAGCTGGGCAGGTGTGTCGTCACTGAGGAAGAGGAGGAAGATCTCTCTCTGTCTCTCTGCTGTTAGTTCTTTGTCACTCTCGGGTCACTGAATGTTTATAATGATTGAACAATGTTTACTTTATCCTGTGGAAGGAGGACTCGTAAGGCGGACGCACTAGAAGGAGGACTCGTAAGGCGAACGCACTAGAAGGAGGACTCGTAAGGCGAACGCACTAGAAGGAGGACTCGTGAGGTATTTTTTGATAAGCATAGAAGAACCCAGACATCATGAACGTCCCTTGAGGCCTATAAACACGTGTTGAGCCTTTACGACACTGGCGATGATGCTTCTTTACTTGTCTATCCCGTACACGATGCCAACTGTCCACTCCAACGTTTTAGAGAATATAACACAGATTGGCGGGGGAAACAATTACCTCTACTTTAAAGCAATAATGTATTAGCTTATATATCATACTGAGTGCGACGTCACATCACTCTATGTATTACGACGCCTGATGAGCTACAATTATACCGAGTGTGTGTGTAATCTGCAAGTGTGAAGGATATGAACGCGTGTGTCTTGGAAAATACCGGCTCTTCGCTCTTGTCCTTTGTCGCTTACACTGTCTCATGGATTTATAATGAAAATGACCAAAAGTATCATCATCTAAATAACAAAGAAAGAGGGTATAGTTCTGTGCTCAAATCAGAGGTGTATACACGGAGAATACACCAGGGAGGTTAGTGCGCCTGCGTGGCTTGAATATATACACAAACATCGTTCACAGACAGGAAAAAATTACCAGTGATTCCTTTGATTTATATTTTTTCTTTTTTCAACGATATTTATCTTGAGATTAATGTTTCAATTACCGCAAAATGTGTGTGTGTGTGTGTGTGTGTGTGTGTGTGTGTGTGTGTGTGTGTGTGTGTGTGTGTAAAACATTAGCAATAGTGAGGGCATCGACACATTACAAGCTGTATTCAATGCTAAGTTATCCTATAATGAGGAGGATTAGGTCAAAAGTTTGTTACGTAATAGTTGCTCATTGAAACTTTGTAGCTGTGTTTGTCTGCACGGATACACGAAATTGCATCCGGTGGTCCTAGGTGTTGGAGCCGTGAGGGACATTCACCAGCGACTGTGTGGGGCTGACCAAGTCACCTGCCTCCTTGGCTAGCCTGTAGGTACCCCAACTTGCCGCTTCCTCCCCCTCTTATTATGCCTGTATCTTGTGTGTATCTTTGTCTTACTACCTCATATATTGGTGTTCTTGTTGTTGTGTACAATAAAACAAGACAAGATGAAGAGCACTTACACTCGTGTTAACACAAGTTTGTGATGTTAGCAACACAGGGAGGTGTACTGACCTTGCCCTGGCTCAGTATTCCTGCCTCCAACTAACTAGACCCTTCCTTAAGCTTTACTTGTGTATAACTGCAGTCATGCTGTGTGAGTCTAGATCAGAATTACTTACATGTGATATACGTAACCGGAGAAGTTTGTGAGCGCTTATTTTATGGGTTGTTGAGCGTGTGTCGGCGGTGCGGTGTGTGTGTGTGTGTGTGTGTGTAGGTGCGTGTGTTTGTATGTGGGAGGAAGGAAGCAGGTGGTGAGAGAGACAGTGTGCGGGCAACAGTCACAGGGGTCGTGGCGCTGCTCACCTGTGTGTGCTCCCTGTCGTGCGCCTCGTGTTACTAACTACCTGCCACGATTTGTGACCTCGTAGCGGAACACAAGATAACTAAACCATCATCAAGGCGACGTCTTGACAAAGTCTTCCACACCCTCGCGAACTTTAGCAAGAAGTGTGAGGTAAAATGGTGGCGTCTTTCGTACAAATAAGGCTTTAACGTGTAAATCTTAGAACACTGGTTCCTCCGATTTCCTCCGACACTTCGACACCGCTACGAAGAAAAAACAAAACAGCTGCTCGACTTCCTTCACCACCTAGCCAAGAATTCCAGTTCTCAAAAACTCGTACGTTAATATTTTTCCCGTAACTGATTATTTGAAAATGAATTGACTCACTTTAAGCACACCAATCTCGCGCTCTGAACAGTCATAAAGAGAATACATCTAACTGATTCACTTACGTTACGGCCAGATGAGAGGCAGAGCACCACACCTCTACCATAACTAAGCTGTTTTCTCTCTTATCCCCACAAAATGAGGGAAAAATGACGTACGAATTTCTGAGAGTGGAGGGAACTTCTGGAGTTTCGTAGTGGCCGAGCTCGAAGGTGAGGTGAGTGAGTGAAGGAGGGAGACAGAAGCCGTGTGTCACTCGAGCACTCTAAAAGTTATGCACACCTTCACAAGTCCACTGACAGAAGCTATGTCGACCACTGGGAGAGCCACAACACAGCACACGTTCACTGTACAGAGCCGCAAACCCGAGTGCCTTACTGACATACTAGCTCTCGCCCTACCTACCTCGGCCAGCCCCGCCCCCTCCCTCCCTCCCTCCGGCCTCCATCACAACGTTCACTCCATCACTCTCGCCTCAGCC